GCATAACCATTAGCTGGAACCAACTGGGAAGCGGAGGTGAGGCTTGCTTACTGGCTACCAGTCTTTGGATTAAACAGGATGCCACTGCAAAGGGTTTGGCCACCCTCCTTCCTCCCACAAATTACGCAAGTAGGGGGGAATTTCTGGGAAAGGGCAGCCCTGCTCTGGTGTTGCCACCTTGTGACAGCGGCAGAGGTGCTCTCCTCCGGCAGCGGGGTACCCCCACCCTCCGTGGCCTGTGGGCAGAGGCACTGAGCCTGCGGAGCTGTCTGCAGCATCCAAAAGGACCCAGAAGTTAACCCCTCCTTGAGTGTCCAACCCTCCCCTCTGCCTGCAAGTGGATTTGGGGCATGTTTGTTTGCAGCAAGGTAAGGAACAAGCAGAGGAAAACCTCCGATTTCTATCGGGCAGTGCCTGTTGGTCTTCGCTCTGGACAGGCTGCGTGTCTCCGAAGTAGTCTGCCAATCGAGGCACCAGTAGGTTTGGGGTTTGATATTTTGCTGTAGTCTCCCAGAGCAGGTGCCCGCAAATGTGGAGGTGTTTGTTTGAATGAGGCTTTGCAATATCAGATGCTAAGCAAAATACTGATTTTTTTTTTTTTAAATATTTGTTTTTCCATGTGTCCCAAAGGTCAGAAATTTGCCAGACACAAGGGGAATGAGATGGAAATAACTTGGTAAAGCATTCCCAGTGGAAAACCTTTCACTTTCCCCAGAATTCATGTGCCTTTTTTGTACTGCCCAGTGTTGTGGATCCCTGCCAGAGTGGGTTTGACCGATCTTTGCTTGTGACTCAGAACAGAGATGTGTTGGGAACCTCTTTTCTTTTTTTTTTTTTTTTCCTTTCCTTTTGAAAAATGAAGTGAAAGTTTATCAACCTGTAGAGTTAAATGAGATCTTGGCCAGCCAAATGAGGAAGTAAAACCTTCCTATAGAATGAGTTCTAACCTGCTCACTGCACTTGTTTGCTCTCAGTTGATATCAGCCTTGCCATAAAGCCTCTAAACACGGGCTGATGACTTCCTTGTGAGCCCGGTACTGCTCTGAATCCAGCTCGTGGTTCGCAAATGGTGGGATGGTATTGCTGGGACGCAGCTGTCAGGTAAGGTGCAGAGCAAGCAGGGCTACCTGGGAGTACGGCTCGCTCTCTGGGGTGTTTGCTGTTGTTGGATTTGGCAAACACAGCAGGGAAGGTGGGGGAAGAAAAAGGCAAGTCTTTTTTTAGTCATGAAGACAGCAAGTGACTGGTCTTGTTACTAAGAGTTTGTGTGCATCTGTAATTTGTGAAAGTAAAAATTCTTATTTTTCTGAAAGCAGAGCAGTCTGTTTCTTTCAGGGAAACGGCTCCTGGAAGGGCACAAATGGGCTGGCAGGCTGAGGTGGTTTGCAGCGTGAGTCTCGGGGACAGAGGAGGAAGAAGAGTTAGCCCAGACCTAAGGCGTGAGGGGGAACGCTGTCGTGACAGGGAGCTGTTGCTGTGCTCCTGGTGTTATTCAGCGTGCACGCCTAGTTTAGAGAAGACTCAAACCTGCTCTGCCTTGACCGATGCCAGGTCTGGCTGGGGTCGTGTCCCCTTCTGCCCCTGCTCGGGGGCTTTGGTGGGGCCTTTGGGGAGCCCCAGCTCCCTCTGAGTCAAGCTGGTCCTTGCTGTGGTTCTGTGGCCTGAGGCTGCTGGAGGTGCTGCTTAAACACACACCTGCCTGGCACGCCGTCCTGCTCTGACTGTTTGCAAGTGGAGCAAAGACCTGGTGGCAGGACTAGGCAAAAAAGGAGGACTTCTTTAAAGTCATTCAGGATGAGGAATTAGAATATAACCACTCCTTTTTTGGAAACTTTTTACAAAAATTTCAAATAATTATTTTCTCATCTTCCAAATCTGTCAAAATATAAAAAAGACAGAAGACCTTGACAGGTGTCTCTATTTTTTCGGTCAAAAGTAATTTTTTTTTAATACCTAAAATGTTAAGATTAAAATAGAAGGAAAACAAAAGCAGCTTCCCAACAGGATCTGCTGGGGTGGGGGGAAAGTGGCGGGAGGAAATCTAAGTAGTTTGAAAATGAAGGTCATAAAGTTTATAAATGGGATTTCACAACCTGTTTGTGATAGCAACAGTTGGACTCTGTGATGCACAATTTTTCCTCTTGTCATATGTTTTTTGTGCTGGTTATAAGCACCCAACTGACCTGTTGGACTTGGGCACGCTACTGACTGTTTACTAACGTGCAAGCTAGTGATTTTATTATCCTTTAATTCTCTCTTTAGAAGGGTGACCTCAGTGTTGGCTATGACCAAGGCTTTTATCTCAGGGTTGCAAACTTGTTCTCTCTGTGGTTAAAACCCTGCAGTCACAATATTACTCATTTTTAATATTTGGCCAAACTGCAGCAGAAATCCAGCGATTAACTTTGCAGAACTAGCGCGTTGCTGGTGATGGCTGATATTGCATCGTATCAACCCCAGGCAGCAACCCAGAGCTCAGTGTTTCCCATGCATTGCCCCAGCTCACCAAGCCAAAGGGCGTACAGAAGGGCCGAGCCTTGCAAACGCTGCCTCCACGTGCCGGGATGCAAAGTGAGCAGACGTGGATCACGGGCTCGGGGCTTCCTGCGATGGGGCCGGAAAAGTGATGCGGTGAGCAGCCTTCACGCAGCACGTGCTTGCGTGTGTTGCTGCTGGGGCTGCGAGGTGCGCGCTGTGAGACGGACGTGGCCTCTGCACCCTCTGCAAGCTGGAAAGCTCTCTGGTAAAAGTCTGAAGGATTGAACTGAACCTACTTTCCGACGAAATCCAGGACAAGCATACACGCAACACAACATGATGCTAATGTGGGAAATTACTCTGATATATATATATATAAAAGCATCAGAAAAGAAGTACAGGTTTAAAAAATAATAGTGATGGCTATTAAAATAGGTATTAATTATTTTCTTTTCAACCTGAGGGCAGCTAGCAACTGAAATTTTTCATTTACAATAATTTATTAACATGATCTAGACATAAAACCAAATCAAGTAGTACATTTTAAGTGTTTGGAGCCACTGACCGCACACCTGGAAGCAGGGTTTGCCACATTGCTAGCCCAGCTGTGACAGCTTCAGCTATATTTGGGTACAAAGATACATTAATGGATCTCAGTTCAGAGAGTAATTATTTCAAAGCTGAGAAACCATTTCAGTAATGAAAAAGCAGGTAAATACCTTTTCATCTTCAGTCCATGAATTAAAAATAAGGATTAGATGTAAAAATTGCTACACTTGTGGAGCGCACTGTGAGAAAAACCAGTCAAGCCTACTGGCTAAAATAAGCAACATTTTGGTATAGATAGCAAATTACACATGGTTACTGCTTTCCCCTTATGTATATGACATACTTAAGGTGTTTTTTTATTTTGCTGATGCTATTTGTCACTTCTAATAGAGTGCCAGATTTCTTCCACAGAGTAATACCTGAAAGTTACATGGTTAGGTAGAAAAGTAAAGGTCAAAGTTGTATGAGGTGAGTTTATTAACTAATTATCAGGTTTTCCTG